ATTTTCGTGCTGGAAAAATTTCTCTGCATTAACTAGTGACAGGGAGCTGTATTTTAAGAGGGTGCACAAAAATCTGAGAAGGTGAAAGGCTGGTGAAGAGGAGATTTCACTAAGCCAAGGATTCTCTCCCATAATACTCAGAAAGTCCATCTGATAACTTGGTCTGGGTGACATGTCTCTGCTGTGTCCTCAATTTCTTGTCCTGTGCCTTCCCACCCAAACAACCTCATCTCCTGACCTCACCTCTCTTTCTATTCAAGAACCATCTGAAAATTCCCCTGTCCTTTTCAATGGTTTAAAAAACCCCACAACTTAGGACAAGATTAAGGGACCAAATTTTAAAATGCTGTAACTGCACTTACCTCAAAACCACTATTTGATGGCACGGAATTAAAGTTAAGTACACTAAAATCAAATGCGCCTATGCTTTAATAAATATAAAATTTAGTTTAAAAAATACAATCCTGTCTATATTGTGAGCACAGTTTTCCATACACATGACAGAGGGGAAACTTAAAGAACACTCATCCAGAATGTCTCTTATAATTACATGAACTTTGTCCTTATAAGCCAGAGACAACTAGCTTACAATTAGATAAAAAAGGAAGCATGCATGGTTTGGTCAAAATAATGATGATGGGGAATTAGGAAGCAATTTGTGAGCATGTTAAGGGAGAGAAATTATACAGAGCAGGGTAAGGGTTGTAGGTAATCAGATGAAATTACCAGTAGGAAAAATAAAAGGCATTCAGGAAGAAGACCTGACACTGAGATGGACTGGGCTGCACAACAGACCCACCACAGGATGGCACAGAAGCTGCTCTGAAGGGAAGCATTTGGAAACCCACCTCACGCTGCAGAAAAAAGGGCAGGTGAAGTTTGTTCCAAATGCATGCTGACTAAATACCCTGAGAGGTACTTTACTGTCTGGTACCTCCTTGATATATTGGTTGTGTGGCAGATGCATTTGTTGGTTTAAATAATCATTATACCTATTAAAACTGATTAGAGGGCTTCATTAGCCAAATAAAATGCAACACAGAAAACAAAGCCCCAGAACTACCATATGAAGAGCTGTGTACACTTCCAGTCTCTGCAAAAATTCTCTCTGCTAACGTCTGCTTTCCCTCTTTCACTCAGTTATGGCACCTGAAAGTTAAACCATGAGCTTGGAAATGTTCACAAGTCTAATTTCAAACCCCAAGCTGGGCCTTCTGAAGCCACCGATGGTGTTCCCAGGCACCAGTACCTGAAGCTTCCTAACAGCTGTAGAGTCTCAGCTTGTAAAATCCTTGGACGTAAATAGTCTTTTCTCATGTTTGTTAGAGCAGATTGCGAACTAGGTACTTTACAGGGCTGCCTTTTCTTGAAATGCAAGTAATAGATGAGTAAAAAATGAACAGCATTAGTCATGCCATGAGCTCCATCAGGATGTGCTGCCACATGAAACACCAGCCTACCTGCAGCAAATGGACTCCTGCCCTCTGAGTTTATTCCAGCCTGTTACTGATTCAAGGTCCACACACTCAGATATTTCATCCTTCTCACTCTGTTGCCACCATGGTCTTGACTGCCCAGCACCTTCCAGCTCTCAGTGACACAACTCCTCAGCTGGCCCCTGGAACTGGCAGCATAAACCAGGTTTAATGAAACACACAATGAAGCATCTCAGCAGGCTTCTGAGCACCACCCACCCAGATCAGGCCTCCTCACACGTGCCTGTTGTCTCACACAAAAGACCCTCTGTAGTCCTGAGTGTCTGTTAACTGCAGTGAGCTCAGAGCAACTTGTGGAGTGGAGCTACATGTGATACTGCAGAACTCGGGGTCAGGAAATCCAGTGACTTTCAGTGGGAGCTGCAGTACCCAGCCAGCTCTGGAGCTCAAAATCCCACTAGGCAAGTAAATAGGTCAATATATACCTTGAGAAGCTGAGCCTTGGCTCCTTGGGTGCTGGGCCTGGCCTGGCTGTGTGCAGGCACACCAGGATATTTTACCCTGTAAGAGAAAGCAAAATATCTATAGCAAGCAAGTCTGTATTTGCCAGCGTATACACAATTCCTGACATAATTCCAATGCATATATAGGGATATTGATCTACAGCAATAATTAATTCATGCAGTGATGTAAAAAAAAAACATCCTAAAAGATTGCAAAGAACTTTTCCAAAGAAAATTGCTTTTAAAATGTTCTTCAGACTAAGTGCTTGGCTTCCAATTTTGTTCTGCCACTAACAGATTTTACGCAGCAAATTGCGAAGTTACACATTGCCGTGCAGGAAATAAGAACAAAAAAAGGTGTACATGGTTCCTGAGGGGCGGAGTAAAACACCCACGGATGTGGACAGGACACTGTTGGTATAAATTCCTTTTAAAAATGGTGTGGCAGGCAGCAGGAGTTTGTCCTGGCCTCCTTCAGCTCTGAACAGAGTTCTCCAATTTGAGGTAACTTTCCAAAGTGAAGGGATGCCAAAGCCAAGGCCTGGGCATGGCATAAAGTCAGTTTAGGAAACTAATAATATAAAATATTTTACTGAATAACTTAGAAAACTTTGGCGGAGTCACAGATGTAATTGCTGTAAACAACCGTGTTCTGGCTTAACAGGCTTCTCTTTGAACATACCAGTTAATATCAGTGCCTGTCACTGCCACATTGAGTTCTCAGGTTCTCAAGATAAAAGATCTTTTCAAAGATTTCTGACCTTTTGGGGCAATATTAAATGACATGGCATCATAATAAAGAGACTTCATGTAGACAATTCATGTTTCATAAGAAATATGTCCTACAGCAGCACCTCCACCGTGTCTCTCCCACCTCACGCTGCCTGAGCCCTGCCAGGGGAGAGCTGTGCAAAATATAACCTTATATGGAGTAAACTAAGAGCAGTTTTCAGATCCAGATGAATTTGTGAATTATGGAAACCATTGTGTATGTAAAGGAAAGACCTCATAATTCACAGCCAGACACAAATGAATTATTTGAGGCCTTTCTCATCATCAACACAACCACTCTGTGTCCCACAGATGTTCATTTTGTGCCAAGACTGATGGTAGATTTAAAATATTTAATGATTTAGAAAATGACAGTTCTTTAAGCAGAACTGGTTCTGTTCACAGGCAGCACACACTGATGGGAGTCAGAGTGGGCCAAAATCCACTTAGCAACATTTCAAGGGGCAAGGAAATACATCCCACCGTCTCTAAAGCTTCGCTGATGAAGATTGTTCTTCAGAACCCTGGCAGGGGAGAGGGAAGTCTTATTTTTTACATAGAAAAGGCCCTTTGTGAACGGTGTGATGAGTCTATAGCTACCACAGGTATGTGATGGACAATAAACGTATTTACTCCCAAACCACTTGTCAGACTGAGTCACTCATTGTTTATACATGGAGGGTTTTCTGCAGAGTTCCTGGTCAAAACCCCTTCTCCGTCGGGGCCAGGTTGAAGAGCAGCACGGAGTAACCTCCAGCTATTTCCCCCACGTACCATCCCCGCTGAGCGCAGCCGCCATTTCCCAGCCTTTACGGCCTCCGTGAAAACTACCATTTGTTTAACTCTTCACAGCTGTGCTGCTCGAGCCTTTCAGCACAGACCTCACACGAGCTACGCGGGTTAATCCTCGGGTGAGGAGCGAAAAAGAAAAGCAGAACCGCAACGGGCGGCACCGCGAGGGCCGCGGTTGGGCCTGAGGGGCAGGAGTGGCCTGAGGGGCGGCCCGTTCCGGTGCCCAGCGCCGCCTCCCGCTCCGGCTGGCGGCACCGCCCGCTCGGGGGGCGGCTCGGGGTTTTCTGCAGAGTTCCTGGTCAAAACCCCTTCTCCGTCGGGGCCAGGTTGAAGAGCAGCACGGAGTAACCTCAAGCTATTTCCCCCACGTACCATCCCCGCTGAGCGCAGCCGCCATTTCCCAGCCTTTACGGCCTCCGTGAAAACTACCATTTGTTTAACTCTTCACAGCTGTGCTGCTCGAGCCTTTCAGCACAGACCTCACACGAGCTACGCGGGTTAATCCTCGGGTGAGGAGCGAAAAAGAAAAGCAGAACCGCAACGGGCGGCACCGCGAGGGCCGCGGTTGGGCCTGAGGGGCAGGAGTGGCTTGAGGGGCGGCCCGTTCCGGTGCCCAGCGCCG